TGTCAAGTTACCTAGTAAAAAAAATTGATTCACAAATTTTCAAAAGCAAGGTTTTCCTGACAATATTTTAAAAAGTCTTATTGTCATTGAAAACGTGTCATATTGTTACGGCTATGTAAATCTATCAGGTTATTATTGTTTTCTTTCTTTGCGTGTCTCTTAAACACTTATTTAGTATTTGTTCTATTAAATTAACTAAGAAAAGATATTTTGAAATATTTTTGTTCTAGTCCACTGAGTAGAACAGGTAGTAAAAAAATGTTTATGACACTCTGTCAAGCGGAAAACTAATCATAACTTCATACATTTACATATCCGTAAGAATAAAACACTTTTCAAAATTGCTAGGAAAACTTTGATTTTAGTAATTTATGCATTAATTATTCCTAGACAACTTGACATGTCCAAATAGACTTTAGTTCAATTGCGTAGAATATTTTTTTGTTTAGCTGTCTTTTACGCTTGATATTTCTGCAATAGAAAATGATGTGTAATATAAGTATTTGAGTTAAATCTATTGTTAATTTAATAGTAATACACGTTAGCATGAATTAATTTTAGGATAAAATAATACAAAAGTATTAAACTTAATTTTAATACTAATGTCTTAACATAGGCAATAGTATTAATCAACGTTAATATTAATATGAATAAAGCACGCCTTTTCCAAACGAGAACTTCATAGTAAAGAGCCACTTCGTCAATATTTAAGCAAACATAACAAGTTTTATAAAGTGACTAAGGATGACAATAATATCGTGCAAACGAAATTATAAACTTTAATCTTTATGAAGTACAGAGGATGTAAAACTACTTTTTTCAGAAGAGTTATAATGTGATTTCAAATAACATCAACGGCAAGTTTTATACCAAATTAAAGTGCGTCGAAAATGAAATTCATCGATACTAAAGAGTAAGAGTTAGATCAACTTTTCAATGTTGAATTTAGAAAATTTCTACAGTTATACGCCTTATCAATAGAGAAAAATTCCTTTCATAAGACAGTTCAAACGAAATCTCATTTAAAATGATGAATATCAAAATGTAATATTTATTTCTTAGGACTAGATAAAAATAATCAATATGATGACTATTAGTCTTTTTTTACAGCACGTATATGAAGCGGATATAGACATAAATTAATTTTAAATAGATTCAATACTTGTTTCTGTGTTTGCCAAAATATATGAAATATGTTTTTGTTTAGAGTTTCTTCATCAAAACGATTGTGTTCCGTGTCTAATGGCCTTTCGTTTCAGTTTCATTTTTGATTTTTGTTTCAATATTTCCTGGTCAAGCATCTAGTACTTTTTGATATTCATCATTTTTGATGAGATTTAGTTTTAGCTACTTCATGAAAGCAATTCTTCTCTATTGATGAAGCGTAAAATTATAGGAATTTTCTAAATTCAATGTTGAAAAATTGACGTAATCCATACTCTTTAGTATCGATGAATCCCATTTTCGATGCGTCTTAATTTGATATGAAATTAGTGGCTGACGTTATTTAAAATCCGAGCGTTACCCCCGTAGAAACATATGTTTACACATCCTAAATGTATGCTAGAGAATAATTGAAATAGTATGTTTATTAAACTAATACTGATAACGTGCATTTTTTTTTGTATATAATAATGTATTATTTGTCGATAATCATGCCTATTTAGAAAACATAATGAGACTATTGAAATAGATTTATAATTTGCTCACAAGAAAGATATTAATCCAGATTATCTCACTTCGGTCTACATTTAAAAAAACAATCCAATTAAAACTTATTAAGAGGCTACGGACACTTTTTTTTTTTTCTACGGAATTTATTTATTAATAATTTAGTAGAATTTATTAAAGGTGTTAATATTTCGATGATATATATTATTGAGCACGCATCTGTACATTGAGTTAAGTCAACATGTCAGTGCATTTATGTGCTGAGAAATCACCTGAGATTTATTTCAAAATGCGTAGTGACTTATGCAAAAAAATAATAATAAGTCCCCACAGGTTCTGAACTTATTAAAGTATAAATCGAGTAAAATAATAATTATACGAATAAATGCTGATCGTTAAAAAAAAGCTGTATTAGTTTTGTTTTTTTTTTCGATATTTCAAGAGTTAAAAGAATTTTAGAAAGAAAATTTCTATTTTCTTTTCAAAATAGTTCATGACATAATTCCCAAAGTTTATTATTGAAGTATTTCAATAAAACATGTAGATTTGCTCTTTACATATTAATTATTTTATATTCTTAAGAAAAAAAAAACACGTATTCAATTTGAAAATGGTCATAAACTTTTAAGTGATCATTAAAAAAAAAAAAAGTTAAAGATCGCAATAAAAAGTCTATTTATATAAATGAATTGTTCTATATTTCAAGTTTTACTTTTGTTCAATCTTTTTTTTTTCAAAACAAGTCATTTAACTGATGTTGAAACACTCTCGAAAATTATAAAGAATTTCTAAATACTATAATAAATAAAACATGATTCTCATTTATAATAATGTGCATTAGACAACTTCAATAATTCTCTCTGTATAATCTATGTTAAAACGTTGTTTTTTTTTCAAACATATGCCGCTTTCAATCGTAATCATTTTTTTTGAGATGCTAACAACAATAACACATCTAATTAAATTTAAAAGAATTTCTTCTTTGAAAAAAAAAAAAGTAATAATGAAATGGATTTTCTTAGCATGTTGAGAAAGCTTCTTTTTTTTTTACTCATTAGAATTGTTTGAACCGTTAAATTACTGTACTATTTGCCATTCATACAGCTCTAAAAGAGATTCTCTTGACGACATAAGTTATCTTTCGACAAAAAAAAAAAACTTGATTGTCTTATTATTTCTTTATGATGATGAATAATAATGCAAAAACTTTTGCATTACTCATTATATGTCATATTGAAATTAGTGTACTTTTCATTTCCTGCTTTTTAGATATAAACTATTTCCTGATATGATTCATATATACACAATGGTAATGCCCCATTCATATATGAATCGATGTTTTCAATTCACGCGTCGGCATGCATCTTTCCGCATCATTTATATTCCAAAACGTCATTATCTTCTCAAGCATCGAATAGAGTGGATGATTCAGAAATATAAGAATTGCTCACATATGAAGTCTCTATTCGAGAGGGAGAGAGAGAGAAAGCACTCAGCTCATGATTACCATTGGATTTTTTTTCATGAACAATAAAGATGAACGATTTAGATTTTTTTTTTTAATATTTCAAACAATAATTTAACTAAAGTGCTCTAAAATGAGTTACGTCTTTGAAAAAAATAACCGTCGTATTCTGACATAATTTCTGAAGCTATTTCAACTAAAAATACTCCGTTTTGAATATACATCTTTAGTTAAAAGATCATAGAAAGAAAATATATTTAAGAAGCTCGAGAAAAATATGACACTATATGTAAAGAACGGTTGATAATCTGCTGTTTTTTAATCTTTTGGGAAAAATGCTATTTATTTCTTATTTTCATCAATTATCAAAACATAATAATTGACTTCTTAGACGTTTCAAAAACATTCTTTCTTACAAGCTGCTTCGGTGATCAAGAAAAAATAAATAATTAGTTTAATCAAAGATATATAAAACTTCAGATGTCAGAAAATAAATATTCAAGTATGAATTTTGAATAGAAATTCGATATCTAAATTTTAATGAAGTCTGACTTCGTAAACTAATCTTCTTATTTTTATTACAAAAAAAATATTTTTTTTTTTTCTCCAAATAAGAAAAAACAACATTTATCGAGGAATAATAATAGAAATTCCTAATGTTTATATCGTTATTATTCTATGTCATCTACTTACTTGAAAACTACTGCATCAGACCATCTTCGACCTCGCATATTAATTCTAGCCATCTTGAGAAATATTTAAATGAATAACAAGTCTATTGGTTTAGTTTATATAGTTGTTGTTTGTTCTAACTTGTTATTCTTTGTAATTTAAATACATAGCGCTTTTTATTCTGTAGTTTTTTTTTCTTCTCTAGCATCACACGTTTTCTCTTATGCTTGCTCTCATGCTAAGATCTTTATCTTTTATGAGCGGTATGATTTTGTCGTTCTTGTCTTTAAAAAAAATAACACAAAGACATGACGACCAACGAGAAAAAGCAGAAAAAAAAAGAAGAAAAAATAAAAGAATTTCCGCTCTTGTTATCGCTAAAGATAACAAATTGGGAATAGATTTGTCTCGAAATAGATATATATATAGATATATATATATATGCGTTTTTTTTGTAGTGCACATTAGAGCAATGATGATTAGAAAACGTGCTATAGTTCAACGTTTTTATTTCTGTGCTCAATACAATGATGAACGACATTGTCGAAACATAGAAAAAAAAGATTGAATAATCTTTCTTTGAACATGACATTTTCTTTAAATGAATGTTCGAGTACTTCTTAATTGGACACTACAAGAAAAAAAAAACAAAGAAAAATTTTCTTTACCGCGCTTGTATATCTGTCGCTTTATGACATAAAAATTTTGAATGATGTTAGGTTCTGAATAGACAATGTTTTCGGTCGGAACAAACTAATCATAGAGTTCCTTTCAAAAAAGCATTTCTGTGTTCGAGGGAAAGAAAAACAAGCAAAAAAACAAAAAAAAAGAGAATATCCATTCGAAATAGAGCAAACGACGTGCTTTTCTGAACATAATGAAAGAAAATATTTGTTTTCCTATAGACAAAAGCAAATAATGTCTACATAATTCAAGCTTTTAAAATAATATATACTAAAGAAAAGTAATTTAAATTATATTATGAATAGAATATTAAAGAGAGAATTTGAAATATTAATCGATTTATTGAATTTTTAATTATTATAACAAACTAATCTAATCGTTTAAATATCTATTTATTTGAAAATATTATTTTTATTGTCTCTAATGATCAAATAAAGTAGGTATAATAATTGAATTGAAAAAGAAAAACAACAAAAGAAATCACGCATGTTGATTTCAAAATTATTGATTAATGGAACATGCTATTTATCGTGCTTGTATTTTGCATAGAACATTGTACATGATGATTTAAATTGCTTGACAACATGATTGGTTCACAGGATATTTTACTTTCAAGTAATTGTTCAGTTGTAAAAATAATTTCATTTCCTTTTCGTGATCGTGTATCATAACCGTATTTATTTTCTAATGATTTTTGAAAATCACGAACTTGTATATAATTATTATAAAATTTTGATGTTTGACGATAAATTTCATGAATACCTTCTTTAGATACTTTTAAACGCATAGATTTTCTTTCATTTTCAGTTAATATTGGAATTGTTGATAAAATTTGATTCCATTGTTTTGTTATTTTAATATCTGTATTTTCACGAAATGCTTCATCATTTGAACAAAGTGCAGAATGTTGAAGTTTTTGAATTTTACATAATACACGACGTGAAATATGTTGTATATATTTTCCAGAATCTAATGTAAACATAAAATAACATTTATAATGAAAACTTCAGGCAAGATTCTATATATAGAATTGATTTCATAGTAACGTTCTTCGTCTTATATAACTAAGGAAATCCTCCCAGCTGATTAATTACTTTTGAACCGGAACTATGTGCATTATGTAGATCATAATGAGTTAGAGAAACCCTGGAAAAAGTTGAGACATATATCTAATTGGACCGGAAATATATAGTATTTTAACGATATTTATTTAAGTCAATGCCATGAAACTCTCGAAACAATTGATTTAAAATTTCGCAAAAAGAAACAAGCCTTAACTAGAATAGTTTATTATGAAAATGTTAGATTTTTTCATTGCTTTTATCATAAAATAGTGTTTTTGACATTTCTTATATACATCGACAGATTCAATGTTGTTATTTCAAAAAATAGAAATGAATCAAAAGACCTAGAAATTTTACAATAAAGTATTCTTATTAACGCTTATCTCGGTGCAAAGTTTAATTTCAAGATATTGACTTCAAAAAAACATCGTCGAAATGCAATATTTTTACATCAATAAACTAAAAGCTTCAACTTTTTTTTCAGAATATCTATAATTCATTAGAATCGTGATGATACACATAATCTTGTCTTAAAAATGATTAATCCGTTAGGAAACTTCTCCCATAAGCATGACAAACAAATAAGAATTTATCTACTAGTCAATGATAAATTACAAGAAATAATTCTGAATTTAGTATTTCATATAAAGAGAAATAGATGGTGTCTGCAAGGAATAGTCCGTGTATGAATCTATGGGGAGTTCCACCGTAATTATTCCTGAAATTAGTACTGCGCATGAAGAAAGGTGAACATTTTCTCTAAAGAAAAAAAGAGTCTTGTCATAAGTAGAATTTACTTGCAAGAAAAGCTGTCTGTAAATAGAGTATTATATCTTGTGCATCAAAATGACGTGACAACATACGGCAAGACAACAGTGTCTCTTATTATATAGTAATATTGTCTTTTCTTGATAATCATCAGGCGTATGCTTTCAATTCAGCAAGACGCATTATCTTTTCTTTCCCATCAACATTTAGTAAAGCTTCTCGTCTCGATCTTGAATAATAAATAGACTTCTATAATTTTGGCTTCAAAATGACACACTTATTCAGTATCATATTTCATAACAGAATAAATAGAACTTACGTCCAATATAATGTTTAAATTTTTGAAGACCAAATTCTTCTGGTTTAATATAAATTCTATCACCATAATAAGGATCCGATGCATTATCATATAAATCTCTTAATTTTCCAAATAAAATATGACCAAAATTATTCGGCATACAACCATGTTTAACATCCATTCCACTAAAATAAAATATATTTGTTAGATTTCTTTTCGATTGTTTCTTTTTTTTTTTGTGTTATTTAACTTTCAACATACTAAGCTGGATAAATTGTTTTTCTATGTAGTTGTGAAATTCCTCTTTCACGAAAATGTGAAGATTCATCACCACGAACATAAATAAATGAATATGGAATTGATTTATTTAATTTTTTTGAGTGAAATATAGACTTAAGAGAATTAAGTGTAAAATGTTTTAAACGTTTAAAATAACCTGAACGATGTTCTTCACTACCATGTGTTTGTGCATCTTTTGCCATCATTAAGCGATTAAAAAATTGTTTTGTTGAATCATATAAAACAAACATACCTATGAAAAAAAAAAAAAAAATCATATGATTTATAGAAATATATTTATTATAGAAACCTTTAGAAAATGTAATTGGTCGTCCATTAAGTACAGCTTCTTGCATAAAAAAATGCATCAATGAACAGATATTATCTTCATTAACATCTTTATAAGATTCATTATTGAGAATTAGCTTTGAAAAATATTCTCGACCATGATTAGCACGTGTTGCATTAATATTTAATTTAGCTAATATACAACATGTACTATTTGAATTGAATTTCGGCTTTCTTGTCGGCCAACTCGATGAAAATGCAATAGAAATGATGAATAGAAATAATGTTAAGGTTTGGTGCATGATAATCAAATCGATGAAATAAAAAACAAACAAATGAAAATAACATATAAACTATTGTTCGTTTTTTTATTTTTTCATGATCATCATTTAAATGGCAAATTTTGCACTTTGATACTTGACACCAATGATAGACGTCTACTCAAATCGATTTTGTATTTGAAAAAGTATAAAACCTTCATCAAGGACATGTACGTCTTCCCTTTAGAGAAGAACAAAGATATATGATTTTCTTTTTCTTTTTTGTTATCAAAAAGACGATCATCGTGTATTATTAACAGAGAAAACTTAAAAAATGATGTATAACAGATAAAGATTAGCCTAAATAAAACTTCTTCAAAAAATAACGGGTGGATCAGAAGAAATGGGCACATTTGGTATTTTATTTTTTAAAGCATAGATTATTTTATATGTGCATCTTTAGTTTTCAAAATAGACCAAATTCTGTATGACTGTATTGCAATGGTGGAAAAAAAGTTATTTCTTTGGCACTCGACGATCTCCTTGTCTTATTCTTCAATTAATGAATCATATCAAAGATGATGATCGTTTTTAGACCAATTGATTTTTGTTTTAATTATATTTTTTTCATTCACTCTACCTACAAAAAAGTGGTTATACGAACAATTGATAATGACATGCTGAAAAATTACGAAATGTGATCGATGAAATAAAGTTTGAAACTGTTACGTATTAGTTGATGAAATAAGGAAAGGTAGTTGTCGTCTACTAACAAATAACCTTTTTTACAGTATCGAAATTCGGTCATATATATATTTATCGATTTTGAAAAAAAAAGATGCATATATTAAATAAAGTGTTTTGTACATTGCAGCTTTTTCACATCTCATCTTGTAGTATATTTGGTTTTTTAATAAAACGTATTAGATAATGAACAAATACAATACAAAAAGGCGCCTATTTATTCTGATCAACACATTATCTGTTGGAAATAGATTTTTATATCTTCAGAGCACATTCTTCATTTATTTATTTTTCATTTAGATATAAAATTTTATATTTTGAAATCTTATCATTACCAATAATAGAATTTTGCGCATGGTCATATAATTAGTATATGATCTATTAGGTTTTGTTTGTATGGAACTTCTTGAATTATTCACATCCATAATTCATAAGAAGAAAACAGCTCTTTTGTACTACAAGAACAACACTGTCTCTTCATTACTTTTTAGAATGTCCTATTTCACTGAAAACAAATACAAAAATTGCTAAAAGAAAAAATCAATGTAATTAAAAACTAGAGTTTGTAGTTCTATTGCTACATTCGATCATGTTCCCCGTTCAAGTACTTCGTATTTCCAAAATGTATCTATATCACGTTCAACATAACTACATACACTCCTACAGAAAGGAGAAACATGAACAGATGAAGGGATGAAAGAAATAGAATAAAAACAAACAATCGGCAACATGTCGTTATCATGATATGAATAGGACAAGATATTGTTGTACTAGAATGAAGAAGCACTTAGAAGGATTTCGACTATCGATGTGATTCATTGTTGTTACTGACATACTCTATTAGGTGTTCCTCAAATATATAGATGAGAGAACAAGATCCCATCTTAGACTACAATTAGAAAGCATTTAAATAGAATCTCTCTGAGGTCCACGTAGACTCCAGGTAGGCAACAAGCGTTTATATATACTAAGAGATAGTTTATCACATAAATGACCATTCATGATGAACAGATAACGTCAGCAACATTTTGTACTACTCTTCACTAAAACATATCTAGAAAGGCTTGCTTTGATTAGATGTTGTTTACATATAACTTTACAATGAAAGCCGTTGCGATTTAGGTTCACACTAGATGAGCGTGTCAGATTAAAATAAACTGATCTTTCCTATTCAAATTCGAACGTTTCAGATGCGTTTGTATTTTTCGTGTGACTCTCATACGAAACAAAAAAGATGTTCAAGGAAAAAAATGAAGTACATTGGTTTGGTTGTTTTCCACACTTTTATTGTCTTGAAGTCATTCGTTTAAATAATGAAAAATACATTGGGGTCACAATCTTATTATGATTCTGAACGATTTCTAGATAAATTTTGTTGTCTAGAATTCGCACCACAAAGTACAGCGGTGATGAAGAGGAGCTCCCTTCCTACAATTTCTTGTATCAAACCCTAAACATTCAGTAGCAGAACGAAAGAAACTGAGAAAAAACGATTCGGCCTAATCAAGCGTAACTGATGGAACATTTTATATGCATAAGCGAAAATAACATAGACCATTACAAGGCATTCCTTTCTCGATCATCGACTAATTCCTCGGAATGTTCTCGACCAATAAATAATCGAGAAATAATCTAGAAGAAAAAAGCTCATGAAAACATAAAAGTTTATTATGTTCAATTAAGTTCATTATATTTAGGTGTATGTGTAAAACAAACGGTGAATGAGTAGTTAGCCGACAGACTACGACATATTCTGATTGTGATTTATTTTCATGGTAGAGGGCTTGATATCATAACTACTGGTACATTTTACTTCTGTGCGCGATAGATAACTATCTCGTCGATAAAAGAATAGGCTAGAAAGTTGAAGTTTTCTCAAACGATTTACTATACAACTCAGAATCTGTTCAGTAGTGATTAAAAGAAGGAATTAATTTTGAAAAACTCTTAGAAACTTTTAGCTTCTTCTAAACGTAGAAGTGTAGCAAACTGATGAATAACATTAAAAATATAGAGAAAGTCTTTGAATGTCGATAGGAAGGCTGTGTGGGTGGGATTTGCCTTAATACAGACGAAGTAGGGATCCGTACACTCGCATACTCATCGTACTGACACCTACACTGATCAATATAATTCCATAATCTCGATAAAAAATCATTTTCATTGCCTTTACTTGATCGAACTGTTTATTTCAATCACTGAAATCGAAAAGCACCAGTTTTTATCTTCGTTTCATCATCTATAACGCCATTTTTTCCGTATTATTGATATAAAATTCATGAAAGGCAAGACATTTGTTTCATTTTTAAGTTCATAGGAGCCAATGATGGGTCCACCAGTGAAATGGCTCAAAGTTTCATTGAAATCCTCGTCTCAAGAATAGTGACTAGTTGATTCTTTTTGAGAATTCATCTGATGTCATATGAATGCGTTAATGAAAAGAACTCAAATTGATAAACTTTTATTGATGGTATCAATCATGGAACAATACAATAGGTTATATGTTCAAAGTGATATTAGGGAAAGTTCTGTTGAATTCTAATCGGAGTGTTTGAATCGTGGTATCGGAGAATGAGTTCTTTTCTAAATATAGGTACCAAAGGTTCGTTAACTTCAGAATATTGGTGGGTAGATAAAACAGTTTGTTGTAAGACAAATCCATGCGGTAGAGCTGTTGAAGTTTGTCGATGGTGGGTGGAATGAATGAAATGGTTGTATTCCTAAGTTCTAAATAATGCAAATTTACAAACGATTCCAGTGTCATCACGTGTTTCAGAGGATTATTGCTTATACATAAGTGATTGACACTTTCTGGTTGCGTCACGGTTGGTATTTCAGTGAAAAGATTGTCGGAAAGGCTCAGGTAGTAAACGTGGTTGAGTTCATGGATTTGAGACAACCGATTAGTATTTAGAACGACATACTGGAGATTTGTCATACCATGTAGATCCGGCAACTGAGAGAGAGTGCAATTGACTAAATACAGATCGTAAAGCTGAACGAGAAATGATAGTTTATTGGTGATATTGGTGATGGGTGTATTATGTATTTGCAGACTTCTCAGCTGTCGAACATTTGCTAGTGCATCAGGTATTACACCTAAATAAATGTTGAGCTCAATAGTTGTTTCCATTCTATAAAGTACAAAAATGATCTTTACCATTATGGAAAAGCATGTCAGATATGGTGAGACGTTGCATTTTTTTCAAACAAAAAATACTTGACGGAACAAGACTATTTCTGTCTCTTAAATTGATTGACGTAACAAAAGTATCAGTGCTGTCCATTTGAACATAGCTCTTGTCCCATTCCATTGAAATTGGATTGATCATAATTAAAAATGGAAGATAATAGAGAACTTCGTAATCATTGGCGAACTGTTTGCAATCATCAGTCGACACGGTGTTTTTTATGTGGATACCTAAGCATCAGATAGTATCGAAAATTTCTGTCATCTAATAAGACCTTACCTTGATATCCTCCAGTAATATAGGATCGCACCGGTCTTTCCGGCTGTGGAATACTGCATTCAAGCTCGGAAAGCCATGCGCAGGCGATGATAAGCAATAGAAGACATGTCTTGTATTGATTCATTTAAACGATACTTCTTGATTTTTTGGAATCAATTGTTGCATTTTAACCTGTTCTAGCGCTATTTATACACGTAGGCGAGGTTGGCTTATGAATTTCATCAAATATTTTCGTTTGAGTATATCTTTACTTTACAAATATGCTTTTTCTGACGATCACTAGAGATTTATATGGATGTCGACCAAAATATTTATCTTTCTAGCTGTTTCTAAAGCTCAAGCTTTGCTTCCGTCAATAAAGCATCTAGTTGAGCTCATAGTCAACAGAATCTCATCGAAGAGCTTTCCCCATTATTCATATTACAATGTATTGAACCTAAATCATACACGTGAGTAGGCATGTTTAATGTCTTTATTCAACCGACGATTCCTAAAATCTCACACACGAACGACATTTTTTTAATGTCTTGCAACTAAAAGAATCATATATGTTCTTGTCTTTATAGTTCAATTTTCGTTTCATTAATTATCAATGCCAATGAAGAAAGACGTTCAGTATATGAAGAACATTGACCATAAACAATCAAGTATTGATATCACATTTGCAAGTGCTGATATTTGCAATTCTGATGACTTTTCGAAAGTTTTTTTGAGTGTTGAGAGATAAACGATTAAAAATAGGAGAATCTATTCATATTTCTAAAAATATTAATTACTATTTGACTCGCATTGTATGTCCGTCATGATATTTTTATCATCATTAGTTAC